AATTTTTGATTCTCACAATCTACCACAAAGATTTATCAAAGATGAGATTAACAAGATTCAAATGAGTTTCTGACTGAAGGATGAAGTTGATTTTTTCATCAAATGAGTTTAAAATGTTTTGCAATATCCTATAAATTTTTGCGACTATTTTTTCATACCTGTGGTTGTTTCGTCTGGATCTTTTTTCGTATCTGTTATTTGGTTCTGTGTTAATTTTGACGGTCCCAGAGGTATTCGCTGCTGCATTTGGAAAGGCTGTTGTCTATTGGGCGTTTGTGGTGTTTGTGGTGTTGGTCGGACTGTTATTTTTGACATCCGTACTGAAGGATCTCTTGGTGTTGACTCTGTGACTGTTTGCAGTCTGTCAGCACTGACTGATGTTGATAATGAATAATTTTGAAGAACTATATTACCTTTCGGTGCATTCGGAACAATATTTTCCGTTGATTGTGTAGTTTTGAAATTATATTTTTCACCTTTTCGAATCAGTTTACAACAACAATAGCCAATCCTTGTCGTGAAAGAGGAGAATCCTTTTATTTGAGAATCTTTTACTATTGTTTCGGCAGCCATTTTTTTCCTAGTAGACAAAGTATGCGCACTAGCACAATGTGCATTATAAAAAGAGTGGAAGAAGGCATGCACGTCATGCTTGGACGAAACAGGATGAAAAACTAAAGAAATAAATTATATGCACCTGTACCATTCGCTGTTGCAGTGAATATGTTAATTTTTTTCGTATGGTATCTTTGATGAGAATACAGCACATATGTGTGGGAGCCCGGAACAATAATGAATTAGTATAAGATCTATAGCACAATCAGCTGCTCTAATAATTCGAAAACAGGAACTGATTAATATTTTTTTCTATGTAGCTTTGTTGAATAGTATAGCATTCTGTGAATCTCTTCGTCATCTAAACTTATTCCAAATAGCAGTTTATACACCATACATTTTACCGTACCACTATTCTATAGTCCTATGCATCATCACCGGTGAAGCGAGTCCGGTACTTAAGATAGGCTTTATGAGAGAATCGAGCAATCGTAGTGAACACACGGAAATCACTAAAATTAAACAATTCTCTGAATATTTTTTCGGATTCGCTATGTAAAACTGGGGTTTTCACCTTGGGCAAACGATTTTTAAAAGTTTCTGTGAGGAGTTCTAGAATTTACAAAAGATAGAGGTCGTCCATTTTCAGAAAAACGTATTTTACCATTTTCTGCCCCAATTTTCATCTGCCAACAATTTTGAGGAAAATCTCATTCGAAGAAGCATTCAAAATTGCATCGGTTGATGTATTTAGAAGTCAGCTTGAAATTAGACTATGATGCTAAACCTGAGATTTGCAATGTTCAAAACATTGAAAAACGAGGTAATTTCCAAACTGTAATTCAGCAAAAATTCACGCGCGGTTCAGAATGATACACGTGATAAAGCTAGCAATTATCTACAAAATGAGTAAAAAACCAGAATTTTAAAGTTTGGGCTTTAGGTAAAAAAATCGAGCGATCGGCGCCGCGATTTAAAATTCTAGGGGAAATTAAAATTTCGAGTTCTCCTGAAAGAATGCCAGTTGGAATCAAAATTTTGACTTCCTCTACAGGGCAATTTTAAATTCCCCTAAACAGTGTTTGATTGATATTTAGCATACTGATATTGATAGTTTATTTAATTAATAAATAATTTATACATTCAAACATCGACATTTTTTCTTTGGATGACACTTTGTACAACATAAAACATCTTTAGATTTACATGGACAGTTGGTGTTATTTCAACAAGGTATAGTAGCGAAGATTTATTAAAGCTGACAGCATGTCATTTTTCTGATTTACGTTTAATTGATCCAAGCAATTTACCATAACTAGCTTTCATACAATGATGTAAAGAGTATGCAAATTTAGGTACTTCAAGTTATAATTGTAAATTAACGTGTTCAACCAAAGCTTGTCCATGTAAATCTAAAGGTGTTTTATGTTGTACAAAGTGTCATCCAAAGAAAAAATGTCGATGTTTGAATGTATAAATTATTTATTAATTAAATAAACTATCAATATCAGTATGCTAAATATCAATCAAACACTGTTTAAGGGAATTTAAAATTGCCCTGTAGAGGAAGTCAAAATTTTGATTTCAACTGGCATTCTTTCAGGAGAACTCAAAATTTTGATTTCTCCTAGGGGAATTATAAATCGCGCTAGATTTTGATTTCCACTGCAACATATATATAATCTTACTACAGTGCAAGAACAGAATTTTATATTTACTTCAGACAATATGAACACCGTTCGTATAAAAAAATCTCACGTTCACCAGTACTTTAGCGTTATGTTCAAACAAAACGTGACCTTCTATAAGCCTAATCAAAAACGCGCATCCACAAAAAGCCAATATCGATTCAAATTGGGATTTAAGCCTCCCCCCCTCCTCAGAAATTATCTCCAACACCGTGCATCCGATCTTGACGAAACTTTCCATAAATGTTCAGCACAATGAGTTACGGGAATGAAAAAACTTTTTGGTCTCCAAGTCTTACGGTTTAGGACTTTTCCAGAGATCAAAGTCCAAAAAGGACCCTGAACGGCGCCCCAAGATTTTTTAATATACTTCAAGCTGGAGAGTTCGGGTTTGTTTTATTTTAAACTAGACACCTTACTACATCGACTGACTGGCGCCGATTTTTCAATTAAGCCTTTATTGGTTTTCCAGGCAACCAACGATCTCCGAAACCCGAAAAATCCTCAGTTTGACAAAAAACTAAGACCTAATTCAAAAATCGACGCCGGTCAGTCGATGTAGTTTCTTTTCCTCTTTTAAACAAAAAAAGAATGAACTCTCTACGACAGGCCGCTATTAAAAATCTTGGGATGCACTTCAGGTGTAACTCTTATATAATGAAAACGCTGTATGAAATACTCAATTTTAGGACTTCTAGAGAAGTGCCTGTAACTTTTTGATGCAAGGTCATACAGAGTTGTGCGCAGTTTTATTTTGATCAGAAAGGTTTGCTCTACAAGGCTGTGTTTTCAGAAAAATTTTAATTGCATAAGTATCCAGGAAAAAACCATTATTTGAAGACCCGTTTTTTCGAGGGTATTAGAAAACTTGCTCAAAATCCCCAAAAAACCACTTTTATAACCTAAAGCAATACAGATTCTGGAAGTAGACACTTCAGGCTATCTTTCCATGTGCGTATCTCAAAACCGATTTTTTGAGCGAAAAACACCATTTCTGAGGGGGGCCCTTAAATGATGTTTTGTACTTCTTTTTCTTTTGTGTTGCTTAAGTGAAATCACCATAAAACGCTAGAAAAAAAATTTTTGATATCCTTTGCGTTTCCGCTTTTTTTCCCCTTTTTCGACCTTTTATTCCGCTTTTCTGACCTAAGCATCTGGCAACTCTGGCTTTAACATATTTTGTTGGTTATACTTGTCCAAATAGTGATTTACAAATACATGCAAATAATCACAATTTGTCAAACTTTTATCAGTATGTGCAACACTTTCATTAATTGTTGCTTCCATAGAAAGTTGGCGTCATCTAGTGATTCTAAACGAAGTCAGTGTTCGCTGAAATTTGATCGAATAACGGTATAGTAGCGATACATTATAACGACAGAACCCCATCAGATACAATCGTGTAATAAACTAACAATTCAAATAAACTTACAATGTCAATTACTGTCCCAAAATTTCGCGATATCTATTTAATTATTTTGAATACACACACACCTGAACAGAAAGGATACATAAATATAAAAATACAAATACAGATGATAATTGGAAAATATTGCACGGAATAATATTGATCACAATAAAATCAAAAATAAAAATAAATACTATCGTTACCCATTCATTAAAAAATATAAAAAATACTTTAACAAAGTGAAAAATATAAAAATATACTTGAACAAAGTGAAAGATATATAATATTAATCATAATATTTTCTATTTTCATTTATACCAAATAGCTTTTGACGTATTTCCGGTAATATTTGCTGAAATATCATATTTAAACGCGCTTCAATTGTATTTGCCACTTTTATTTTACCTGATTGTGCATACAATTCAATACCGCCAGCTCTAAACAAAAATGTGAACGAACATGACTGAAAAATGTCTATTTTGAATTTAATACTCACAAATCTTCATTTAAAAAGTTTTTCTCATCTATCACACATTTAATTTCTCGATTATTGAACTCTTGTTTGTACTTTTGAGTAACATCGGGAAGAAGATTCTAAAATAAATACACAAATAAACCAAGCGAAATAACGTGAACTAAATCATTGCAATAAGATTCGCTCATGTCATACACTAAAAGTTGCTTTTTCTAATCCTCTCATATTTATCTTACCTTAATAACTTCGAGATCTTGTTTTCTACACTTGATCTGTACATCTGACTCCATTAATAAAAAAATACCTTGTGCAATTAAATTCGTTAATATTCCTGAATATTTTTCTTTATCTTGTGCTAATAATCCCAATTCTTTTCGCGCTTCTTCTTTTAACTGTTGAATATAATCATCACGAGCTTTTAATATGGATAGACGCGATTGATTTAATAAATTCGAATGTTGACTACAAACAAACACAAATAAAAACCATAAATCCATGCTTTCTAATCAACGAGGAGAAAGATCGATGCTTCTGGCACACTTTAAATATTTTCCATTGTCACTTCACACTTCTCTCAATCACTTTTAAGTGACTGAGACGCCCTTAAAAGGACCCTCTTCAGAAATTATCTCCGACACCGTACATCCGATTTTGATGAAACTTTCCATAAATGTTAGGCACAATGAGTTACGGGAATGAAAATCTTTTTTAGCCTCCAAGTCTTATCATTTAGGACTTTTCCAGATATCAAGGTCCGAAAAGGACCCTGAAGTATTTCCCAAGATTTTTAATATATTTCAAGCTAGAGAGTTCAGATTTGTTTACTTTAAACTAGACACCTAGACTACATGGCCTGGCCAACGCCGATTTTTCCTTTGTTTGTTTTCTAGACAACTTGAGCATTTTTTTATTTTAGTGTATAGAATTGAAGTGAAAATTGGTTACGATAATCGTAGCTATTATCATACTGAATGCATAAATGCGTTGAAGACAGTCCATTTTAATCTACGCACATTTTTTTTTGTAATTCAATTTGTTTTTCTTTTTTATCATAATATTCCATTATTTTAACACGTTGTTGCGTAACAAGACGAGATTTTTCAATATTGAATTCTTCTTCAGCCTAAAACAAACGCAAAGTGATCTATTTCCAAGATATCTTGTGTGTACCGATTCAATTATGCCATCACTTATCTAAGGACAATACACTCCAAATTTATTCGTATATTTTTTTTAATATACACAAGCGAATGTATTTTGTTACAGGATAAAACAAAAACAAACTTACTTTTGCTTCGATTTCTTCGACTTTTTCACTTGCTTCTTGATTAATAAATGAAATCATCTGTTGAATCTGGTAAAAAGAGATATAAAGACTAAAATTTGATTATTATACAAACAAATTAACAGATCTTACCTGTTTTGCAACATCAGCTTCACTTAAACCCATAATTTTAGACTTTCTTGAATAAATTACACAAAGAATGGATATATCTGAAAACAAAAACAAAATAATTTCTGACGTGTATGTTAAACTACAATAAATTCCAATGTAATTGAACAACTCTGATCTTCCAAATATTATGCCTAAGTCTCGAATTTTACACCAACTTGACTTGAATTATATAGTTAACTAGATGGTAATCACGCCACGCGAGAGTTGCGCAGCAAATCACACTACTCAGTGTTTCGAAAATGTGGCGAAAGTGAATGTGCGTTTTTTTCTTTATTTTTTGCAGCATGATCAGATGACCCGGTCAGAAATCAGTTATCTGGGGTCTGGCTCTCAAGGAAACTTAAGTTTTACTTAAGTGAGTTTCTAAACTTAAGAATAATTTCTTGTTTCCTTACGTGAAATTTTTCACTTAAGTAAAACTTAAGTTGTTTTGAAAAAAAGGCTCCTGGTCAGTAATAAGGTAACACTCGTCTGCACTCGCTTGGTCCCTTGACTTCCGGAACTTATATCTGCGAACGACATTCTATGACTTTGAATCCAAGACAAGACTCCCCATCTCCCTTCGATCGGTATTCTCAACCGGAGTGAAACACAACGCACTCGATGAGTATCAATGTGTATGTTTCCCATACCAACGCTTGCACTAGGCAAACTTCCTGAGTAGGTTTTTCTAACAGATACAGCCTTGTTTTCCTAAATTTTCACTAACAAACTTTCCTAGTGGCTTTCTCTGTCTTCGGGAAAAAGCCTCTTTTGTCCTTTTCCATTTTGACAAACTTTCTGAGCGGCTTACTTCTGAAGGAATGGAAGAAGAAAGTTTTGTTATGTAAATTTTTAAAAAGTTTTGAAGCAGCAGAGAATTTTCGATTCTTTGTTTTTCCTTGAGTACAATCTCGCTGAGAGACGGGGGGGCGCAAATAACGGGAGAGTGCGCAGCCCCACATAATTGAAAAAGCTGTTGTTATTTTATCCATTATTCCTCGCACAAAAACTTTTATCAATTTCACACTACCTCAAAAAGAAGTTTTGCTTTACACCCCCCTAATGTTCTGCTCCTATTTTGCGGCCCTGGTGAGAGAGGGTGAAAAGACAGAACTGATCAACGCTCATGGCATATAGAAATCCCTACCATTGACGATGTTCTCAGCTACCGCACTGATTACATCTGTGATCTGCTCTAACCTCTAAAGATAGCTATCTTACATCATTGACTTAATTATCTATCACACGGTAGTACATGTAGTGACGATAATAATGACTCATTTGCTATACAGATACCATATCTATGAAAGTGATTCACACGGTACACAAACTCTATTGTAAAGGCGTCTGTACACTGTTAGAGTAATTATCGGTTTTCTTGAAAAAATTACAAGTCCAAAACAGTTATTTAAACTAGATGATCCTTGATAATAACTTTAGCCTATGAACGGGACCCCCACTAATACTTTAAGTAAATATGTTCATAACGTTTTTGACTGACGATTAGCAACTATTAAAAATTGCCACATCCTTGAGCAACTCAGGAAACAAACAGCTTCCATTGTATCACGTTATGAAGAGCACAAAAGTCTTAGACAAGTATACTATACTAGCAATTTTTAATAGCTAAGTTGACTTCTTTTTTTACCATTTATTCGCTAATACATTCTCGTGTTTATTCGACAACAAAAACAAAGAAACACAACAATATCTAGATTATTGTTTTCTGTTGAACACATAAATATATATATATATGTATACAAACACGAACAGAGGTAGAATAATGAATATAAAACAAAATCTTTATTACATAGTATTATTATTGTGAAGTCAAAACGTTTTTGAGTGTGAAAAGAAAAAAAGGATCACATAAACATTCGTGCGCTAGTCGCTGGTACAATGTTAAACAAAAATAAAAAACAAATTTGCCGTTAATGCTAGAAGAAAAAGTGAACAGACAAGAATAGTGTGAATATCATTGAATGATACAAAAATATTCAGTTATATTGTTGAAAACATATTACCCTAAACATCAACAACAACAACTCTATTGAGCAAAAAAGATAGACAAATAGTTTTGTTAATATAAGCAAATAAAAAATTTTTGTATCTTTGAAAAATGAAATGATATATTGATCCCATCTACCACAGTGACAAATTTTGAACAGTAGGCTATTGACTCTCTGATCGTGATTTTTTTTGACGCGATCCATGTCGAGGTGAGGAACGCTCACGCGAAAAACTCCTTTCACGACGGGCACCTCCACGGCTGGAAAATAAAAACAAATGTAATTAGACTAAAAAATGACCTTACATGCTCTTTGACATACCTTCTACTTCTGCTTCTTGATGGTCTTCGCCGAGATTCACCCCTTCCACCACCGTAATTCTGAAAAATAAAAATATTAGTACGTTTAAAGAAAGTAAGTACCAAGCAGATCATTAAAATCGCAACTTACTCCTCGTCCACCTGGACCTCCTCGTGATCCTCCACGATCATTGCCAGCAGGTTGAAATTCTTTTTCTTGTAACCGCATTTCAGAGGGAGCTAAAATAAAAAGTTTGATTTAAATGTTTCTCATTCCCTATTTTTCTACTGTACATAATACGTTACATACTTTTACGGTCGCCTCGTGCAAATTCAATCTCTAATTCTTTATTATGTAAACGATAACGATCTAAATAACGCATGGCGTCTTCAGCATCTCTTGGATCTTCAAATGTACATACAGTAACATTAAGGACAAAAATACAAACGAATAATAAAAACTAAACTACATATCACCGGAACAAAAAAAATAAAGTTGGTTTAGAGTTGCTGAAAAGTGATTTTTCGTATTTGGCACACTCGATAACCCAGAAGATTTTCTATTTTTGGCTCGGGGTACTTCCGAAAGTTTAAGAAAAATTTTGAAACAAAATGGCGTAAAAAGTTTTCCATGGAAAAATAATATTAATTTGAAAACTTTTCCTAAACTTTCGGAAGTACCTTGGGCCAAAAACAGAAAATCTTCTGGGTTATCGAGTGTGCTGAATTTGAAAAACCACTTTTCAACAACTCTAAACCAACTTTATTTTTTTTCCGGTGATATGAACGATAAATATTTTAAGAAAAAGGATATTCAATAAATGCAAATCCCTTTGGATCACGCGTATGATAATCTAGTGGAATCGTAATATCAACAATTCGACCATGTTTACTAAATAAACGTTTCAAATCTTCATATCTAAACAAAAAATAGAGAAAAAAAATTAACGTTTTATGTTAACAAAAGGGACATCGCATTATCTTTCCTAATTTTTCTGCCTGCTAACATCAAACAATGTTGAAATTAATAGCAAAAAGCAAACGTAAGTCAGACACACATATCAACAACGAAAAGAACCTTTTTGTCTTTGTGATGTACGCTGTCTGTTGGCGGTTTGAAACCTGACTGCTGCCGCTGCTGTTTTTCAGTTCACTTGGATGCACTGTTGATTTGCAGGCTGTATATAAGTTGAATTGAAAACACAATTGATTGTTAGAAGCAGAGACTGAATTTTTTAGGTGAATTTTGAAAAAAAGATTTTGAAAACAAAATTTCTATGCGAGTAGTAATCTTTTTTGCTTTGTGCTGTGTTTTGTTTGACTGCTGTGAGCTAGCAAAAGAAAATAGGCATATTTAGACAAAACGATATAAATATAAAAAAAAGAAAATACGCAAAATTTCGTCATATTCTCTTCTAATACGATTTTGATGAAACACCAACAATAACAACAATAAGAAATAGAAAAAAGTAACTTACCGAACTCGATCAGAAATATTTCGAACGTAGAGAGATGCTCCAGCTTGTCTTGAATGTCTTGACATCTTATATAAATTTTACCAGCTTGAAAATATTTACGTAAACAATCTAAATACAAAAATTCGACTCCAAGTATTTGTTCGTTCAAAAATAGTTTGAATAAAAACCGGTTAGATATTTTCTTCTAGGTGACAAAATGCATCATCGGGAATCTGGTCATAGCATAATGAATTGATGCTATGATCAGAGTTCCCAGATGCTCAAATCAGAAATACGGAAAAAACTGGAAACGCACTTTCATGATAGGCCATGAAATTTCATCCGTTTTCACGCGCAGAGAGTAAATAAAATGTTTTCTCTAACACTTTGTGGTTTTACTCAATAAAACACAAGAGAACAACAAACAGAAATGTAAATCTCAATTTTAATTGACACGCTGTTTTTTGACTGTATATTTTTGATTATAATGAATAAGTATAAGCAATTCTGGCGTTAATAAGAAATAATTATAAATTTCGGTGCATGATAACGATGACCTTAAACGAATTTTTAACTCAGGGGAAAAACAGCAAAAGCAGAAAATGCTTAAAACGTGAACAAATCGCGGAAAAAAAAACAAATTTGTCCGCAAAATTCGGACCATCTGGCTCTGGCTATGACATGATATGACTAATTTTCTTTTCATATTAAAGTATGATGATTATTTGCTGTGTCTTCCATGTTGTTTGTGTACTCATCAGTCCTCACCACCCAAAATCAGAATCAAGAAATATGAAAATATTAAAGATAGATAAAGCTGGATTTCGTTTACCCATAAAATACGCACTGAAAAGACGACAGATGCCACTAACATAAAACTTTATACCAACACTGGTGCCATCTGTCTGAATGTTGTTACATTGAGAATTTCGTGACTTTAATAGTAGACAATTTGATCAGATGCTAACTTATATATAAAATGTTACGGATATTTACACTTTTTTTTCGACCGTCGATGAGTTGGCACAGAGATCTAGTATTCGTCAGAAATTTGAACCACTCAATATAATTAATTAATAATGTAAAACAAAAGTACTATTGAAATTGATTTCAGTTTTTAATTCAATCTACTCTTGTTATTTATTTATCAAACATTTGCTTTCAAACGTCTAAATACACCGTAGTAGAGAGTAACATTGTCCATCGTTTCCCGCAAACAACATTAGCAAAGTAACAATGGTGGAACTGAAAGGTCCGGGCTTTACATCTCATTATTATAATAATATATTTATTATTATTCCAGCTTTTATTATCATTTTACTAGTGGGTAAGAGAAAAATTACGATTTTAAACTATAAGAGACTAATTTTGACAATAATATGTACATGTGAACGGCACTATCTTTTCTCCCTTTTTTATTCATGAAGTATCCCAAGAGAGTGTACCTTAGCTTCTTTTATCTCTTATTTTTATTAATGATTTTTCTCTGTCTTTTTTTCTACTTGCAACATCTGTCTTCTGCTAGTGACGTACTTTTGATTGTTCGTCTTTCCTTTCAGTTTTCAGAATCTGTCAATCAGAATAACTGTTTCAAGCTGGACTTTTTTTAATCTCACTTCCTTAGCTTCTAACTTCCTTTTTCTTCTAATCTCTTTCCGTTAGTTTATATGTAGTTGGATCTCAATGATATTCCTCCCTCGCGAATTCTGCTGTCTCAGTCTTTTTTTTTCCTATGATCTGAGGTGAAATGAGCATGCGAAAGAAATGTGCCTTGCTTGTCGGTACAAGCTGAAAACATTGATTGGTATCTTTCAATTAGCTCCACCAGAAGCCTGGCACCAAACTTTTTCTTTTCTAATAATAATATACTAATTTATTTTTAACCACTGATGGATGAAAGGCCATCAAAAGTTATAATCTGTAAAACGAAGACCCCGCTAAGATCCAGGTATACATATGAGAGTGTAAGAAGAGAAGTAAAATAAATAAATAAGAAAAAAAGAACCCAAGAATGAAAAAAAGAAGGAAACATCAACTGTAAACGTCGATTGAAGTAAACAATAGAAATAACAAAAAAAAGCAAGAGAACTAAAAAATAACAATCAACTGTTGAGGATATGGTTAAAAATAAAGTTCTTTTAGAGGACACAAGTGAGGAGGAAGAAATAACTTGACTGTGAAAGACTATGTCAGTCACTTACTGTAGACAAAAAAATAGAAAATTTTATAGTTTCAGAAAAAAACTTTGTGTAAGGAGTGGAGTACGAAGATATTTGATGTGTTGGCGACGAGGAAGAGAAAAATTAGGTGATCGTATTGTATAAAGTATGCGGAGAGGACTTAAATGGTGATAGACTTTATAAAAATGAACAAGAAAATATTTCCGACGTTTAGAGAGATTTAGTAGAGAAAGTCGAAGAGCTCAATCAAAACTATGATTCATAATCTATGAACACAGTAATTAAAATTTTGAAGAATAATGCGAACAGCAAAATGATTCACAGAGTCAAGAATAGAAAGAGAAAAAGAACTATCGTATAGAGCACAACAATAATCAAGTTTAAGGAGAATACAAGACAAAATAGATTCGACGTTATGCCTCAGGAGGAGCCAAATCAGAGATACGTCCCAAAGTTCAGACCTTACGCCTGCAGCTCGGAGCAATATCCTCAGTATGGGAAGTCCATCTGAGATCGTGCGAAAGAACATCAGGGCAATGAATAGAAGTAACAACAGTAAGATGAGAGTTATTTAAGTAGAGGTAATTGAAAGCAAGAGGAAAACGGAGAAAAGAAATCAGCAACATTTTGAAACATTCAAGAGCAAATAAGTTATCAGTTATACCACAACAAAATAATTTTTCAAGAAGAAAAGAATGAGAGCCAGTGTCAAAGGCTTTAGAGAAATCAAAAGAAACACCGACACAGTTAACACCAGAATTTAGATAAGAAGAAGCAGTAAGAGAAAGAGAAAGGAAAGCGTTAAGTCTGAAACGGTTTGGACGAAAACCGAACTGCTTGTTCACAAAAAAAGGTGTATATAGAGAGATGTTCAGAAATAAAGTTATATAGCAAACGTTCAAAAACTTTGCTAACAACAGGAAGAAGAGATACAGGATCATAATTAGAAATATCAGAAACAACACCTTTTTTAAGAACAGGAACGATGAGAGCAATTTTCCGACTCTCTGGAAAATTATTTGTAGGTAGACAAAGATTAAAAATAAAATGAAGATGAGAAGAAATAATATCCGCGCATAGAGAGAGGAAAATTTGAGGGAATTTCATCAACTCCTGTCATAAACTTTTTAGCCAATTTACGATGTAAATGTTCAATATCGGAAATGCTGAAGTTCAACGACTTCATCCGGAGCTAGTCTGATACAGGAGTCGGTAGAATTAGACCTTGAAGATTAGAAAAACAGGAGGGAATTTTCTATAGTCTTCCTAAAATCGACTGTTGTTGTGCCTTTTATAAAAGTTCGTTTTCTCTCTCAATTTTTGACTATAAATAAGCTTACTTCTCTTGTTATCTCTCGCAATTTATCACTAGATTATCACTTCTCTAGCTTCTCACTTGCACCACAACTTTCTCATCCAAATCTGTGTATACTTTAGGTTTGTTGTTTGTTTGCCTTTCATGGCGCTCACTTTTCATGAATAGATAACTTTAGAGTTAAAATCAATATTTTATTATGCTAAAATAAACAGAAGTGGTTGATATCTTTCAGCAATGGCGATAATATCCTGTAATTTAGTTCTCGAATGTAAGGTTATAGTTGTAAATTCAGAGAGAGAAGAAAAAAGTTTTTTGTAGTTACTAAAGATGATTGGACGAAATCTCTTGTTGTAAAAAATTATTTTCTATTTTAGGCTTTGTTGCTTATCGATTAATAAATAGTTTATTATCTAAAAAACGTCGTAAAGAAGAAAAAGCTCGATTGAAACAAGCAAAAAAAACTGAAAAACAACAGCAACAACCCAAACAACAAGTGTCTCCTCAACCATCCAATTCACGTAAACGAAAATGAATGCTGTGCTTCATGACAACTAATAGACATTTGCCCGAATACTCAACGAAAATACTCTCTAGTTATATTTCGTGTCTTCGATTTTTTGGGGAGGAGAGGTGGAGCAGGAAAGGCTGATGAATAGTCACAAGCAAAGCAATATTTGATGTTTTATTTATTTAAAAAAAAGCATAATTTTAGTCTTTTTCAAAGACGTCAGGGTTTTTGTTCTCTTCCTAAATTAAATTTTTATCATTTACTTTCTCTTGTTATTGTTGTTATCTAAATGTTTTCATTTGCCGATAAAATTTTTTGTTTTGTTTATGTTGTTGTAAAAGAACAATAACTGGAAAAGGTTGTCAATTTCAAGAAACAGAGAATGTAGTTATTTGCAGAAGAAATATGAAATTCGATGCCTTTTTATTTTTGTGTAAGATGCGTCTTACACAAAAATAAAAAGGCAGTTGAATCATAAATACCATCTAGATGGTATGATGGTATTTATGATTCAACTGTCCCAGGCTTCTACACCACAAAGTTAATTTTCAGAGATCTCATTACCACTTTCGCTGTTCTCGTCAATATTGAAATTTAGAGGAATAGAAGAGATTTAGACAAATTCGCAAGGAGAAGCGCCGATCAACTACGCTTTAGGACATGTTGAACTCTTTTTCTTAATCTGATAATTCTGCAAGCAGAAGATTAATATCAGAATAGCTGTTGAAGTAAGAAAACGAAAAATATGCAAAGAAGTTTTTTTTTAATAGCATAAAACTGAATATGGATGCTTAGAAGGATGATAATAATTACTGAAAGTAAGCTTGAAGATATTTATGAGCAGCAAATTTACATACTTATTGAGGTTTTATGTAACTAGGTATAGACAATATTTTTCGATAGACCATTCATCATACCCAATTTTTTTCTTTATGAAAACATTTTCACTTTCCTGTATGTAGCACGTGTTTTGCGGTATATATTTTCTAAGTGTAACATATTACAAATAACTGTTTCACTATTTGATCAGATATATACTTAAAAATGATGTGCGGCTCGATTAAATATATATATTCGACGTTACACAACGTCGAAAAGCAGAAATGATAGATAGAATGTTAAACATTACCAATAGCCAAAACAAGAACAAATGTCCAAATATATCATCGAAATACGAAAACATGGAGAAAAACAAATGCACTATCATTACTCATGTTGTCAAAATTGGGAATAAATGACTGATTAAACACAATTGATCAGCTGATTAATTGCGCTTAATCAACCATTTCTTCCCAGTTTTGACAATAGGGGTAGATACTGGTACTGTTTTTGTTCTTGTAACAGTTAAGATTGCTGTAGTGATTGTTTGATGACTGATGTAGTGAATAAACGTGGTTCTTGATGAGCTCACTGGTGATTTATGATAAAAATATAACATCATTTCTAAAGAAAAACGTAAAAAATGAAAATTCTAGTTATGTGTCTTAAAAATATTCATTATTGATTTATTGGATATTTTTTCCTATATAAAATGGGAAAATTGTAAACAAAGACTTTGCCACAAGAATATTCAGTCTAAAAGGTAGTCTAATGGACTATTGTGCGTAATATTTATTTGAATTAGAACAAAAACAGGTGGCAAAATATGTAAAAATAGGGAATTTTTTATATGTTTTTCTTTCACAAATCATATTTTTCATCATTATTATGATTATTATTTATACTAACATTGTAACTTTTTCGACTTTTAATTTTTTTTAAACTAACTGAATAAGATAGAATAATTATGTTTTCTTGTTCTGTTGTATGAGGTTGATTATTATTGTGATTTTGTCTTGTTGTTATGTTTGTTGTTTCACAATTATTTGTTGTTTGCTTTTGTGGAAGAAATAGATGATGACAATATCGTGGTAATATAAGGGTGAACATTTCTAAACGAAATTGTTGACTCATTGAACAATACATAATAAATGTAATAAAACTCGATCCTATACTTGATATATCCCAAATATCACCTAATAAACTATAAAGTAAAAAAAATTTTTCTTCTATTGCACTAGCAATAAATAATAAACCCTGTGGTAATTCAACAAATACAGTAAATATTGTAATAAATACTAACATTGTTGTTGTACGTAATTCACGAGTAAAATTACCCAGTGATAATGAATAACGACGTTTTTTTGTTCGTTGTTGAAGACGTTGACGAATTTTTTGGGCATTATGAATAGAATGGATAAGTAGAAGACTGAATGTAATTAAAATAAAAACAGGTAGTATTTTAAGAAAAATAGCCGAAATATGAAATGCAATACGTTCGAGTTTTGTTCCTGTTGTATTACTAAACCAATAGACGGTTGCTGTTGAATTGAGACTATAAATTTCGGGATAATAGGTAGATGCAGGTTGCTTAACTACTGCCCATATTAAATAATTTGGTATCATTAAAGAACAAATGAGAACAACACACACCCAAACCAAAAATACCACTGTGCGAGACTTTAACGTTGACTTACTTGGACGACTGACAATAAAATATCGAACCTAAAATAGATGATGATTGTAGAGCTTTTCATTCAGAAAGAGAGAGAGAGAGAGACAACATTGAGATATACAGGCTAGTGATTTTTGAAACTTTGTTCCTACTCTATTCTGTGACTTTTCCTTTACATCTCTACTACTCGGATGGAATAAAAACTTAATAATTATGATAGAAATCCTGCTAGCATCAATCTTTTAATAGACGCGACACTAATCCCACGAAATGTATCATGTTAGTCGGTGCATTATTTCTATGACAAAGTCTCTGACAAATGTACCCATTAGTTTATTTAGTTTATGTCTGTTTATATTCTTCAGAAAAATTATAGTTTAAAAGAAACGTTTACTTCTGCTGGGAAGTGTTTTTTTTAATATTATTCTACTTGTCGACGTTTTCTCACGTTAAACAAAAAGAAATAGATTTATTTCAAATATCATTTTCTCACTCTTATTCCGTCATAATCCTTTTTGATGGAAACACTATTTTTAAATGAAAATAGTTTTATAAAATACAAACAGAGTATTTTATTGATTTTTTTAATAGATTAAATATCGATTGTTTAGTATTATCTATGATATGATAGACCTGAAATATTTAGAGAAATCTATACTAAAACCATAATTTTCTTACATGATAGAAAGAGATCACATCTCATTTGAAAATATAGATGCTCTAAATTAGCTCTTTTGTATTCTATAAATGAGCCTCAAAGGCATAAAAAGAATTGTTAATATGATTTCAATAGAGCTGTGATGAACACAACGGAAAGAATTACTTGAATCGACTTAGTGATCATATATAAATAGGAGAAAGAAATTTTTTTATTATCTATCGTCTATATTATGGTAAATTATTAAGTGTAATTTATGAACATATTGTATATTATAAAATGTCAATTTTATGTCTAATGTTTACAGATGAACATAAATGTTTTTTTTACAGCATATACGATCAATTTACTTACAATGGCCAATAAACATGTCAGCCATAGTGCTATGGAATGTGCTGTGAGTCCAACATTTGAATGAACTAGGGCAAAACTTGGCCAAAATCGTGATTGTCCCACAAATGGTTTAGGTTTATGTAAAATATAAAAATAAAGTGAAAATATATTGTATGATAGAAGAACGATTAAATCGAAAAAAGCGATATGCTGTAAGATTAAATTTGTTGGTGTTCGAAAATGTTTTCGATTTAGAATAACAATTGTTACAATACTTGTAATGATGCCAAATATTGTTAATGGAAATACAATTCGACCATGAATATGAGCATAATATTCACCAAATGTAGCTACAACACTAAATGATGGTGATAGAGATGATGAAGAGAAGACTATGTCTTCTGATGTTGTTGTGATCGTGGTAGATGATAAAACAGTGGACATAATTTAATTAATCATTTATTCTTTATTTGATCTTAAAAAAAAATGAGAATACATTGTCAGTAAAACGAGAGTTATTGAACAAAACAGGAAATATTTTAAGTATTATTTTTTATAAAAGTATTATTTTTCGACTATTTTATGAAGCGATTTGAATGAGAAAAATAATAAAATCCAATAGATATGATCTTTTCAATACACGTAATAAATAATATATACCTCAGGGTTTACTATGTCGAAGTAGAGAGGAGAAGATACAGCAATAATCAAGATCTGGTCTTAACGTCTTTTTGCAAAGTAAGAATTTTTTAGAAGAAATTCGATGTTTGGAAAGGAAAAAAATATATATATATGTGTATATATATAATTCTCTTATGAGGAAACATTTAAAACCCTGTGACCTCCGAATAATTGCAATTGTATTTTTTCAATAGACTCTTAATTTAATTTTTTTCGCGAATTAAAAAGGCAAATGTTTGAAAAACCATAAGTCTGTAAAGATTGTATTTATCATAAACGTTCCAGAACAATCGATTCAGTTATAAGGTCGAGGTCTAGGCGTATTACAAAGAATTTTATGAAATAAGTCATGAAACTCACAAATTAAAAATATTTAAAGTTTCTCATTTTTTTTTCATAAACAAGTGTAGATTAATCTTTTAAAGTTGTACTATACAAAAACTTCATGTTATTGTAAAGCAAATATCACACCAAATTTCAATCAGTTTGCTTTTTTTTATATATAATCGATTATTGAACATAGCCACAAATTTTCTTAATTGAGCCTGTTGTCATGTAATTAATTTGCGTGACAGATAAAACATATATGAGAAAGAAGCTTTTTTTAAATACATTTTGATTCAAACAAGAAGGAAATTGAGGTTGGGATGTATATCTTTTTCGAAATATACATCTTTCTATAGATAAAATATCTATTTTTTCCGGAAAAAATTAGACATATGCATGATAAGCTTAAATAGGCAAGAAAAACGTACAAGCATCTTCGAAGTCGGAATAGCTTCGCGTCCATATTTTTAAAATTGTTCCCCTTACTTTTAAACATCAGCTATTTTTAAACCAAAAAAGCTCACAATTGAGTAATAAAAACAAAAATTATAGCGAGCTTCAAAGAAACAGGAAATTTTTTTTCCATTTTATTATACATGGTTGGACAAAGCAGCGCGTCAAACTGAATCAGAAAATATATCCAAAAAAAGAATGGTATATGGATGTTTTTTGAATAACTTTTCAATCGTGAAAGATAGAGTGCTGGGATTTTCAAATATGGGAAGAGGAGATTATGGAGCATCTTTTTACAAGTAGAAAGTTTTTTAAGAAGGTTTTAGAAAGCCGATTTTCCAGAGGAGTTTTGGAAAACTCGTGCATAACGGAAAAATTTGAATTATTATATAGTCACTCTAGAAAGAGTCGATACACGGATATTTGACCATGCTGAGTCGACTGGCAATATTTGTTTTCATTTTTAAAGTAATCTAAAGTCACTGGATCAAAATTTTGAAACCCCACTTTTCTGCTTGTAAAAAGATGCTTCATAATCTCCTCTTCCCATATTTGAAAATCTCAGCACTCTAGTTTTCACGATTGAAAAGTTATTCAACAAACATCCATATACCATTCTTTTTTTGGATGGACAATACTTGAAGAATATAAATTTTCGAAAAACGGTTTGGTTTCGAAAAAACTCAAATTTCTTTCTGTTTCGTTCTTCTGAGATTTTCAAAGTATTTTTCTCCCATTTAATATCAAAAACTGAGTATGAGAATGATACTTGATCGAGATCGAAGTTAAAAGTCTATCCAGTATGGACGTCGTGGGATTTCACCATCATAAACAATTTTTATAAGCAAATCTTTCTAGGTAAGTCCACCTTTTTACTTCATTAGAATAGCCATTAAATGAGCTTTTATAAGAAAGTACGTTGAAAGTACGGATCGCTTTTTTTTCCATTTTGCTTTGTCACTGAGAAAGGACCCTGTCGGATTTCAAAAGTATGTCGAACCAGAAAGCTATATATCAGGTTTTGTAGAGCTTCTCGCGACAGAACTAAATCTGTATTGAGTTTTGGTTAATACCTTCTGGTTACCGAGATATGGGTG